AAATAAGATCATGCGGTATTTTTCTTTCTGTGCCAGGCTTATTTCACAGAAGAGTCTTTCAAAATTGAAGGACACATAATATCCTTCAGATTCATCCATGTTGTTGCAAATGACAGATTTTCTCTTTTTACAGCTGAACAGTATTCCATTGTGTATATATATATACCATGTTTTCTTTATCCATTCGTCTATTGATGGACACTGAGGTTGATTTCTTATCTTGGCCATTGTGAATTATGCTGCAATAAAACATGGGAGTGCAGATATCTCTTTAGCATGTTGATTTCATATCCTTTGAATATATACCCAGTAGTGGGACTGCTGGATCATATGGTAGTTCTGTTCTTAAGTTTCTGGGGAGCCTTCAGACTGTTTTCCATAATGGCTGTACTAATTTACATTTCCATCAGCAGTGTCTAAGTGTTCTCTTTTCTCTATATTGTCACTAATGCTTTATTATCTTCCTGTATTTCTGCTATTCTAACAGATCTTAAGTGATACCTCATTGTGATTTTAATTTGAATTTCCCCGATGATTAATGATGTTGAACATATTTTCACATACTTATCATTTATATGTCTCCTTTTGAGAAATGCCTGTTAAGGTCCTTTGCCCATTTTTAAATTGGGTTTTTTTTTTTCTTGCTATGGAGTTGTTTGAATTCCTTATATATTTTGGATGTCAGCTCCTTATCATTTGTATGGTTTGCAAATATATTCTCCCATTCTATAGGTTGTCTCTTACTCGGAATTTTATATAAGAAATTTTAGAATCATATTTGCTGTTGTGGGTGAAATGGATTAGAGAGAATAAGCGGGAGGAAGAAATGCCTAGGAACAGAGAGGCAATTCAGAACTATTACAATAATATCAGCAAAAATGGGCAGATCTTGGACTAAGAGTTATGACTTTGATTGGCAGATGAAATAAAGATATATTAAAGAAGGAGAACTGACTAGATGTTTTGATCAATCAGATGTAGAGAATGAGGGACAGTCAGGAGCTGATTGAAGTGAATAGGTGAACTGAGTCAGATTAAAACAGGCCCTATTCAACAGCCAGAAAAACAGGGACAAAGTATTTTATTCTGGTGAGAGGCTAATACTAGTCAGGTTCTCAGGGCTCTAGTGAAGTGATTTGGGATTCAGGGAATAATTGTAGTCCTTGTAAAAAATTTCAACGCTTTTATCAGTTGAACTGTATCTCCCAAAATTCTTGTGTTGAAGTCCTAGCCCCCAGCACCTCAGAATGTGACTGAATTTGGAGATAGGGTTTTAAAAGAGGTAGTTTAAACAAAATGAGGCCATTAAGATATTCATTAGAGTGGGTCCCAATCCAACATGGCTGGTGTCCTTACAAGAAGACATTAGGACACACAGCTACACAGAGGGAAGACCATGTGAAGACACAGGAGAAGATGCCATATACAAATCAAGAAGAGAGGCCTCGGGAGAAGCAACTCTGCCAACATTTTTGATCTCAGACTTCTAGCCTGCAATTGTGAGAAAATATTTCTGTTGTTTAAGCTACCCAGACTGTGGCACTTCATTATGACAACCCTAGCAAATACTACAAATGTCAACATGGACCTAAGTCCTTTTAAACCAGAGAAGGCACAAGCCATGCGAACTGGGTGCTAAATAATACAGCTCAGAAAGTAGGCAGGGCCACCAGGGACCCTTGGTTAGTGATCTTCTGGCCAAGAAGTACTTCTCAATCCTATCCTCTGGTAGAGATGGGACATCTAATATTCTTTCAAGTTTGATTCTTATTGACTCAAGTTTGATTCTTATTGACTCAAGTTTGAAATCTTATTGACTTCAAGTTTGATTCTTATCTGTAGCAGAGCCGAGCTACAGATGAAAAGCCTTTAATTCTGATGCTAAGAAGAGGCAGAAGCAAGCAGGGGCTGACTAACAATCTCAATTTCAAAAAATAACTAACTGCATATCAACATATAGCATAAACGAATGTTAGATCCAGTCGGAATTGACTCAAAAATAATTAAGATATTTGTTTCTACTTGCACATTCCTTTGCCTTCACATGCAAAGAGAAATTCACTGTGGTTCAACTGCTGTTATTACCCTGCATTACTGCAAATTTCTCTGAACTCATCTTTCTGTTTCATTATCGCCACTCTTAGCCCCCAATAATGAGGATCAAGGGCAGATCATTTTAGGCATGAATAGGCACATTGCCATGATTTTCTCATTTGTCTGTACACATTTGCCAAAAAAAGGAATTATCCAGATATCTTGACTCTTTGTCCTAGTCTCCTAAATCCAGTTTCAAAGGGTAGATTCTTCCTTTGCAATTACTCTCACATCCATCCTTTTACATTTTTATATATCCCAGTTCCAGCTCTTTTCAGATCTTGCCTAAACCAGTACAATAGTCCCCTTACTTTTCTGCTTGCCTTTTAGCTCTTTCCTCGCTACCTAAATTCATCCTGCACAAAACTTTTATAAAACACCTTTAGAAAATGTTGACCACAATGTTCTTTTCCTATATATTAACCTTCAACAGATTCTGGTTGCTTATTCAAACACATTCAAACACCTCTGTCTAGTGTTTAAGACTGTGGGAATCTGGCCTTTTCTAGCCAATGCATAACTGCCCTAGCTTCCCAAATCCTCAAATGCATTGAAGTAGTTTCAAGCATTGCCCAGCACATGCCTGCCACACAGCCCGGTGCTTCCTGCCACACAGCCGGGTGCTTCCCACCCCTGTGCTTTTGTTCATATGGTTCCATTCCTTAGCCTGCACTCTGCCATGCTCCACCATGCTCCTTCAAGAACAGTTCAAATCCCAGACGCTTTTGCTCTCATTTTTCTCCCAGCATGAGATGCCCTTTTTTCTGTCTACTCATTCTACCCATCTTTCAAGGTGAAGCATAACTTCTAACTTACCTTTGAAGTCTTTCCTAACCATTGTGGCATTCAATCCTTTGAGAAAGGCTTTTGTGGGGTCACCAGTTACCAGATGTTGTGTGAGCTCTAGGGATCACAATTGGGTAAGACACTGTTCCTAATTTCCAGGATGATACCCTCTCCTCTTTCCTTGAGCTCCTATTGCAGTTACGACCCAAAGAATTGCCTATTAATAATGCAATGCCTCAGGAATTTTCTTCTGTTTTTAATTGCCAATTACATTTGCTTAACTTAAAAAAATGACTTATCTTCCCTAGTTATAGATTGTAAAGACTCAGTTTCCCCCCAAAGTATCTAGTTTAACATGGGAATAGAGAGAGATATACTATATGTATCAGGCATTGGGCTGCTATTTTTGCTAGTGCTTCTCCTGGTGTGATACGTCTAACAGTTCACTCTGTGGGGTGCACAAAACCCATGATATTACAGATACTGTTGCTTAGGATAAGGCTAAAGTAAATAGCGCCTAGTTAACTGTTTTTAAAAAGTGAGTTGATTTAAAAACAAATGTTAAATAGTAATGTTTCAAGTGATAGCTCTGGCAAAAATGGTAGAAGTGGTCCTTTAATGTCTTTCAAAGGCGTTATATGATATCACATTTATTCCTTAGAACAGTCTTTCAAATTGGAAACCAAAGTCCAGAAAAATGATAGAACTTACTCAAGTCGCTAACAGATCAAACTTTCCCCCTTTACCATAATACCCTTTTGCATATAGAAAGATTTAGTTTAATACTTGAATATGGGTGTCTGACCCGTGTTTTAATACCCCATCTCCTCAAAAAGATTTGCTTTAGCTTTCTAAATCAAATCCTTCACCTTCAGAAGAATAAAAGAGGCACACCAGAGTCATTCTGGTGTATTTCTAAGCACATTTACAAAACATACAAGGAAAAGGACCTGATTCCCTGGCTGGGTGAGTGAAACGTTAATTCTTCACCTTGGCACCTCAACCTACAGCTGTAATAAGGGCCGTTATGCCCAAATAGGCCCTTAAACGGAAGACCTGCTGAGCAGAGACCCACTTTCCCAGCCCCGCTCAACTGCCTCAGCTTTTCTGCCAACTGACCAGGCGGAAGCAGCAGCAGGGGAGGAGGGACTGCAGGTAGGTGGGGAGGGGATCATTCTGAAAGCCCTAAATCCCTTGCAGGGAAGAAGCAGCTGCTCCTTGTTTTTCTAAACATCTGTCCCATCTGTCCCAGGCCACACCTCACCCTTTGGTGGCTCGAGCCAGTTAAACGTGAATTTGACAAGAAAGCCCTTCTGAAGGCTGGTTTGTGAGTGGAAATGAACCTAAGTGCCACCTAGAAAGTTTCTTCTACTGAGAATACGTTAGTACGGGGTCTGCAGCGGCACGGCTATTACCTTCCTTCATTTTATTCTCACAAAACACAGCTTTTACTGATAGAGGCGGGATTTGTAACGTCACCCAAATCAGACTGTACGCCCTGGGGATATTATTTCACAACATAGAGGTACTTCTAGAGCCCACATTTTAACCCCTAGGAGAGCCACAGCCTAATTGGAAGGAGAAATAACGATATTGCACATACCATACCGCCTTTATGGTAGAACAAGCTGTGCACATCTAGTGCCTGTGGCGTTTATCACATTTTTCAGCGTGTGGCTTTTATTTGTCTCGTCTGCCACACTGCTCCTTGAGAACAGGGAAGTTATTTTTATTGTTATTTTCCCCTCGTATTCAGAACCGTGGCTGGAACTTGGTAGGCATGAAATAGATATTTATGAATGAATGAATGTTAACGAAGAAAAGAAAAGGAACTGGATGATTCATTTGGTTCTCCGAAGGCGGGTGTGAGGGGCGGGGCTCGGACTTTGACCCAGTTACCGAGTGAGGCGCAGTCCCAAAGTCCTGCAGGTCCGGCTCCAGTCACTGCAGACCCGGGTCTACATCCGGTGCTCAGGCCTCCCGAAGCGAGGCTGCGCGCGTCCTGCACGGTCCCGCCCCGAAGGAGCGCAGCCACGCCCCCTTCTCTGGTCATTCCCTCTGCGAAGTCAGTTCCACTCTAGTTACAGGATTGGGGCGGGGCCGGCAGAGCGCAGGCGCAACGGGCGGCGGAAGTAGGAAACTGGGAAGGAAGAGGGAAAGGGGCCTGGCTGTGCTATGCGAAGGGCCCACGTTTCTGTTGTGGGAAGCTCCAGGAGGTCGCACGTGCGTCCGAGCCCAAGCCCCTCCCCTCCACTCCCCTCCCCGCTTGCCCCGGAGCCGCCAAACGGCCGGCTTCTTCTCGGCCCGCCGAGATGGCGCTCGACCCCGCAGGTACCGGGGCGGGAAACGGGGTTTGCCGAAGGGCTTTGCCGTGGGTCTCACACCGCGGGCCGTGCGGGCTGGAGACCGACCTGGTAAAGGTGCAGAGCTTTGGGTGGCATTGCTTCTACCAGCGTCTCCTCACGCTCGGCGTCTGCTTCACCCAGTCTTAGGTCATCTTCTCACTTGTTGGGGGTTATGGTTAGCTGAGGTTGCTTTTGTTGTCTAAACTCTCATGCATTGTGGTTTCTTAACGCGACTCGTCTCTTCATTGTCACCCTCTTTTCGCCCCTTAAGGGCACAGACTCATTTAATGTATGGTGCAGACACTCTGGCCCCAGAAAAATTTTTATATTTGTTCTGGCGCACAGTTTTACATTTCTGTTTGGGAGTTCATGGACCCCGAGTTCATCCTTGTAACCCAACTTAAAAACACATTTCAAAGGATCCATCACTGTGGCAAGAGTCAGTTTCTTTGGGAAGGATCTTCAAAGTCTTGAATGTTGTTTTAATCTCCTTGCTTCCAACCACTTCCGTTTGCAGCAATAGTTTACGTCCCCTCGAATTCCCGTCCTTGTGGAAGGTGACCTGCAGTATCTTTGCTTTAGGCTATTCTTGCAAGGGAATAGATAACAGTTTTGAAGGGAATGGTAATTGGTCTAGTCCATTTCTTTCATTTTATGGATACAAAAAGTCAAAACATTGAGAGGTGAAATGGCGTCAAACTTGGGAGATTCAGAAATGGGAAATGCTCTTTCGGAGCCTTCAAGGAGCATGAAAAATATATGTAGCACAGAAATAATGTTTTAATTGAACACGTTATTACCATGCTAAGTGTTCTCTGTTATCCAACAGTATGTGGTATGGTAGGTTCCTTTAGCTCCATTTTACAGATTAGGAAACCGAGGCGAAGAGAAGTTAAGTGACTAGTCCAGCAGGTAGTGGTAGATCAGGGAATACTCTAATTTGAAGCATAGAGGAGTTTTGGAACACAATGATCATGTTCATTTTGGACTAGGTGATTATGAAACAGCAGTTGATCTGGGCTTTGAGGGATGGAATCTCCATTGTTTGGAACTGGAGAAGAGCAGCTCCATGAGCAAAGGTTTAGATAATAAAGTGCACTGTGCGATGCTTGGTTTCAGGATGACTACTATGATTTCGTTCTTGAAGGTAGAAGGGGTAGGGTGTAAGTGAGGGGTGAGTAAGGAAGGTTCAGGTTTAGTCCCATATAATTTATGGTTTTTTTTTTTTTTTTTTATTTTAGTGGGACGGAGTCTCACTCTGTAGCCCAGGCTGGAGTGCAGTGGCGCGATCTCGTCTCACTGTAACCTCCGCCTGCTGGGTTCAAGCAATTCTCCCACCACAGCCTCCCGAGTAGCTGGGATTACAGGCACCCGCCACCATGCCCGGCTAATTTTTGTATTTTTAGTAGAGATGGGGTTTTGCCATGATGGCCAGGCTGGCCTGGAACTCCTGACCTCAAGTGATCCGCCTGCCTTGGCCTCCCAAAGTGCTGGGATTATAGGTGTGAGCCACCACACCCAGCCTAATTATGGTATTTCTGAACTTGAAGTGACATATAAAGTCATCTCATATAGATGAGGAGATTGAGACTGAGAGAGGTTAAAGATTTCCATATATCTATAATTTTTGAATTTAGACAAGGAAATTTGGGAGAAAAATCTTCATACTTGCTGTCTTCACTTGCTTACCTTCCAGTTACTCATAAGCCACTCCAATCTTGTGTTGTACCCAAGGCTGCACAGCTAGTTGCTGGTTGAATCAAGTCTGGTTAGAACCTAGGTAATTTCATTTCCAGTCCGGTGCTGTAGACCATTCCACCTTTTGAGTATTGATTAAACAAAGACTTGTTGAGTGTCTGGTATATGGCCCGTATTGTTCTGGGCCCTAGGGAACAGTAGTATATAGGACAAACAAAATCCCTGCTTCCAATAAAGCTTATCTAGTGGTAGAAAAAGACAATTAACACCCCCTTCTCCTTCTACACAGACACGTGCGTGGGCACACACACACACATTTTTACAGATTGTGATAAACATGAAGAAAATAATGTCATGTGGTAGATGGTGAAGAGATTAGTCAGTGAAGAGCTTTATGAGGAAGTGTCATTTGAATTGGAATCTGAGGGATGAGAGGAAGCTAGGCAGAGTGTGCTAGGCCATCAAGTAGCAAATATTTAACTTGAATGTGGGTCAGAGTGTGGAGGGGATCCATAAGGAAAAATACTGGGAAAGTGGGTGGTAGCTAAATGCCTAGATATTGCAGAGGCTGCAAGGCCTCAAAGGCTGGCTGTGATAATTAAACATTTGGATTATTTCTAATGTCATCAAACGCCTTTAGAATCTTTTAAAGAGGGCAGTAACATAATTTGTATGTTTATTACCCTGACTACAGTGGTAGCATGCGTTGTAGAGGGGTCAGGTAATAAGTGGCAGAAGGGAGACAGGTTAAGAGATGGGAGCAGTAGTCCAGGCCAAATATGTTTGTATCTTAGCCAAAGATGGTAATAGAAAGATGGACAGAAATATTCAGCATCATGAGGAGAAACTGACAGGACCTGCTGTTGCATTGAATAAGGATGGTGAGAGAAAGGGAGGAAATAGCATCTGGGCACCATGGCTCATGCCCATAATCCCAACGCTTTGGGAGGCCGAGGCAGGTGGATTGCATGAGCTCAGAAGTTCGAGACCACCTGGGCAACATGTTGAAAACTCGTTTCTACTAAAATACAAAAAAATTAGCCAGGCGTGGTGGTGCACACCTATAGTCCCAGCTACGCGGGAGGCTGAGGCATGAGAATTTGAGCCTGGAAGGCAGCGGTTGCAGTGAGCCGAGATTGCGCCACTGTGCTCCAGCTTGGGCCACAGAGTGAGACTTTGTCTCAAAAAAAAAAAAAAAAAAAAGGATGAAATAGGGACAGGCCGGGCGCGGTGGCTCGAGCCTGTAATCCCAGCACTTTGGGAGGCCGAGACAGGCGGATCACAAGGTCAGGAGATCGAGACCATCCTGGCTAACATGGTGAAACCCCGTC